AAAAAAAAAAAAAAAAAAATACAAAAATTAAATATAAATAATAATAAATAATAAAAATAAAAAATGGAAATAAAAATTCTTTAATTTAATTTAATATTTTTAAGTATTGCCATGTAAATGTGTAAATTTGCTATTTTTTTTTTTTGTTTAATACTTTATTTATTTTTTTTATTTTTTTTTTTTTTCTTTTTTTTACTTGCAATTAAAAAAAAAAAAAATTCTTTAAGTTGATAAAAACCCCCTTTCCAGAGTTACTATCACTTTTAATTGATATTCGGAAAGTTAGTATCTCTCTAAATATTAGCATCAGGCAAAGTGCACTGAAATGCAGTGGCAAGTAGATGGTGTGTACCAGGGAGTAGCCTGTAAGCAGGCTCACTGGTGCCCAATTTCAGGGAAAAGTTTTGCAGGCCAACAAGTAAGTGAACCTGAAGGCGAGCCATTGAGTTTTAAATTCCTTGTGCTCAATGACCAAAACAGTGATCTAATACCGGTAGGTTAAAAGTGACAGGCTACATAACTATCACAGACATTGGGCGTAAACAACATAAACATTTACACATCAAACTTAGTGGAAAGAAGTATTGGTAGGCCTGCATGACTTTTGTTGCTTGTTTCAACAACTTTCTTGTTAATGGGTATATAAAGCTATGAGGATTGTTCTTAATTTTGAGTAAGCAAATCATTATTTTTTTTTGCTACTTGTCTCACATCAAGAGGTCATTTCCTTTGGTTTTTGTTTCCAACAAGATTGACCCTTCACATGCAACTTTCTGTCATTTTTGTCTGTGTTAATTTGCTTTGTTTTTATTGGATGGCATCTTGACACCTCAAAGCAGGGGAAATTAAAAAATCAATAACCCTTGTGTAGACTCAATTATTCTCACACGGGTGGAGCCAGGAAAAATTGTGACAAACCGTCAGTTACCAAATCTCATAAAGATTTTATATTATTATTGTAAAATCTTTATGAGATTCAACCCACAATTATTATTGTGGGTTGAATTGATTTACTCTGGTAAAGTGCTACAACTTGAAATTTCTGCTCTTAGAAACTACATGTATTTGGGACTTGGAAGTCAGCAAATGGGTTTGTGCATTTCAATATAATATTAATATATTATTTATTTTTCACCAGAAATTGTGGAATCACATCAAGCACCGTTATGTCAAAGATGCAGATGAAGCAGATGAATGACAAACAAAATTTTTGTATTCTATGAACATTGGCTGCTGTTGTAAACTTTTAAAGAATGATGCCTGGAGCCTTATAAATACCTGGAGCTGATGAATGAGACTTTTCATCTGAATGCAGAGCAGCTGTACCTTTTTGTTTATGTTGTCTTCCTGACTGCATTAAATAAATAATTTGTATCTCAACTTGGATTTAATAGGATGATTAAGATACTGGAGTTTGTTTGCCAAAAATATTTTCTTTCGACACCGTGTAATAAAGGGATGATCATTTTCCTTCTGTCTTTCTTTTTTTGTGTAATTTGTTTCCCAGGCCCCTGTTGTTCAAATGCTGGATGGCACTATCCATCGGATGAATCATTATCCAGTGGATAAGTATTAGGAAAACGGATTGCTCTATCCACTGGATAGCGTTATCCACCTTTTGAACAACCGCACCCAGGGCATGTGTATTTTTACAGGTAACACAAAAACAACTTTCTAGACATACAACCCTCAGAATGAAAAAACACTGTCAAGGCTGTACTTTAAGAAAAATTGACAGGAGCCCAGTGCTCTGAACCTGTGAAATCCAGTGTGCCCAGCTTAGGATTTCCATGATTTCTAGTCACCCAAGAGCAAAAGTAATGCACCATGGCCCATCAGGTGTTGCTAGAGCACAGCCATGACTGTAAAACACTCATTATCACAGAAAGATTTCTTATTCCATGAAAACTTAAAAGGCATTTTCCCTCTTGGCACTTCCACTATCTGAATGGTTTATACAAAGAGCCCATTATACACATGTACCATAAAACCAAAATAAATTCACTGTAATGTCAGTATGCAGGGCAGTCACTAAAAGCCAGGGGCTGGGGATTTTCCCTGGCTACCATTAGTGTGAGCCCTGGCTACTCTTAGAGCAACCAAAAAGAAAATGGGAACAAAAGAACTTTATGGCTTGCACAATTCCCCTCCCACTAATCTCATACACCCGGCAACTTGAAATTTTAGTGACAGCACTGAGCATGATGGGTGTTTTAGGCTTGATAAACTTGATAATGGCTGTATATTCTTTGCTCTTACTCAGGTCTAAAATTATCAGATAGTGACCATGCTTTGCTTGTACTTTAGTCCAAAGTTCCTGCGTTATGAATCTCATAACACCAGAGTTGTTCTCTATCCACAGCGGCAGACCTGTCTCATAAGTGTTTAGAATATTCTTTGTAACTATTTTTCGAGTGATACTCTAGTTGCAGGGTTGCACGAAATATGTTGCAATTGACTTAAATCTAACTAACAGCTAGATTCTAATAAATTGCTTTTCTTTAAAAGAGGAACTGTGGGTCAAGAATCACTCAGGGCCTTATTCCACTCACACCTCCTCAAACATTGTTGTGGAGCCTTTCTTAATTTTTGTCCCTAGAAAACAAACTTAAAATGGAGCATTTTCCTTCAATCTTTACCGGTGGTTTCTTGGGGGTAATGCTAATCCATTGGACATTGAATAAATCGCTGTCCAGTATTCAGTGGATAAGCATTTTTTTAATGGAAGAGAGTTATTTCTGTGGATATGTCTACATGCATGCGTGAATAGTCTGCATGGAAGTCATGTGAAAGGGAGGAGAGAAATCTTGATTGCACACCCTTTATGTTCTTGTGCACCTAAGTTCTCTGGCAAGTTCTCCTTTTCACCTTTTAATTTAGGACGCCAGCCGGGGGGGGGGGGGGG